CTCCTTGCTACCGCGACCTCGCCCACAGGAAGCCGCGACCACGTGGCAGCAGGGAAAACGGCCGCGGATCCGGTTCGTAAGTCGAGGCGAGTTCGTAACCCACGGTAAAATTTTCCTGCCGAAGCTGGTCGTAACCCGAAATGTTCGTTAGTAGAGGCGTTCGTATCCCGAGGTACCACTGTATATGAATAAATGATTGGCCAATACTAGGCAATTATTAAAAGGTTGCAAATGATGGGATAGGGTGTCAGCAAATAACTGATGAGAAAATGTGAAGCTAGAGAAACGTCAGTCCTAAAAATCTTTCTTTCTTTTTTCTTTGAAGTCTTGCTACATTTAGTAATTTATTAGTAAAGAAAAGCCTTGATTTATAGGCAACTTAGTGAACTTTTTTATTCTTTGCTTCATTTCTGGTTATTAGATATGTATTTTTTGTAGGCCATACCCACCGCTGTCTGTGGATAAGGTAACTAGCACAGTTGGATTGCATGGATATAGGAAACGCTAAGCCATATCCAGTCTGGGTGTGGAAATCATCCATTCCCTATCCAATCCAAATGTTCTGGAAAGCAATTCAGCTTCAAAAGGGGCCTACTACAAAGATAGGACGTCCTATTTCAGGACTGGAATGTTCCATGTTGGGACATTTTGCATACCTCTCATATCCAGCAGCAGTACTGACAAGAAAAACAAAACAAAACTTGTCAGGTTAAAACTCAGGATATTTAGGTACAGAACTAATTTTCTATTTATTAGTAATTTCCTTGTTTAGGCACAGAAAATGAAAATGAGATGTGCATCTGAATGTAGATGCTACTTACTGCTAGCGTTCCACTTTTGATGTTCAAGACTGTATGCCAGTCTAAAATCTTGTGTATCCTAAAGAAACATAACACACCTCTTTATAGTACAATTGCAAATGGAGAAGAGCGAGCACTATTTGTTGAATATATTTAGAGATGACTGTTTTTCACTCAATGATATAAGTGACTCTTGCTAATGTAGTACATTAAAATATATTGAAATACACAAGGAGTTATATCACTGAAGAAATAAGGCAAATACAGGCCCTCAGCATTAAGTGAAAATACTCATATGATACTGATACAACTTGAGAAATACAGTGTCTACAACAAGGTTCCTAACCTATTTTCCCCTTTTAGCTATTCACAACTTTGATATATAAACAAAAAACAACTGTAATTCTTAAAAAAATACTGGTTTCCTTAATAAGTTACTTTCAAACATTGCAGGGGGCTCAGGTGTTACTAAGTCTTTACAGAATTCCTATATGAAACCACATTTTTAAACTACAACGATAACATTCATTAAGTTCAATACTTAATGATGCATTAACCACCTGACAATTAAAAAAACATTCAGGAGTGCCCACAATTTAATAATTGCTAATTTAAAGGTAGACAAAGCAAATAGCATTGACAGAATTGAAAGCAAACTATAAGTCATAGCAAATTTAAAAGGAAGAAATAGTACAAGAAATCAGAAACATTAACCAGAATTATTGTGAGGCTTATAA